TTTCTAAATTGCATATAGCAGCACTTGTAGGCATCAGACCAATAATATATGATAAGTCCTCCCCTCACAATTGGTTTAGGATCAGAAACTAAATATTTTACTATCTTTTGATGTGTAGTATATGATTACTTTCTCTACCACAATGCACAAAGATATGTTTCCCAAAGAAGATTGAGGATATATGTTAGTTTTTCTAACATTTGGGGGATAGAATAAACAATTGAAAAATATACTATATGAATCGAATTATCATTAATATGATCCTCACTTAGAAGATAATTCAAGTCAAATGCCAGAAGCATTTGCTGATCCAAAATCAGATATCATATTTCAGATGCAAATGCTCCTATTAAAATTTAAAGTCCCTGAAGGATAGAGTTTACTGTACGCATGAAGCGTGGTAGACTAATCGATTCCAAAGGTAACAATCCTTGAAAAATGATAAGGAGTTAATGATCAAAATTATCATAATGAGGAGGAAATGAGCTCTAGAAGAGCCAACGACATAACATTTCGCGAAACTCCAGAAGAAGTTCAGGTGCCTGAAAATAAAGAAAGTGATGAGATCTCAACAAGTTATGTCGCTTAGGAACCGATACAAAATGATCGCCGACGATATATTTGATACAATATAGTGCACAATATTGTAAAAGATTGTGAGGATCGGACCTGTAGTCCAATCGTCCAGACACATGATGTCATGCCATTTAAATGCAAGTCATAACCTATATGACTCATTTGATTAAATCTATATGAAGATCCCTGAAGGATTTAAAATACTTGAAGCATATAATTCAAAGTCTTGATAAATGTACTCGATCAAATTATAAAGATCTTTGTACGATTTAAATCAATCTAGGCGCATGTGATATAATCGACTCGGTGAATATTTGCTGAAAGAAAGTTATATAAATGATGTTATTTGTCCATGTATTTTTATAAAGAAATTGTCATCAGAATTCGTTACACTTTTTGTTTATGTTGATGACATAAATCTTGTTAGAACTCCAGAAGAGCTCCAAAAGGTAATTGAATATCTTAAGAAAGAATTTGAGATGAAAGATCTTGGAAAAATAAAAATTTGTCTTGGTCTGCAAATTGAATATTTAGCAGACGAGATCTTTATCCATCAATTTGCCTATACAGAAAAGGTCTTTAAACGTTTTTACATGGACAAAGCGCACCCATTAAGTACACCAATGGGTGTTCGATCACTTAAAGTGAATAAAGATCTGTTTCGACCTTCAGAAGAGGATGGGGAACTCATTGGTCCTGAAATACTCTATCTCAGTGCAATTGCTATGCACTTATGTATCTTGCTAATGCTAACAAAGGTGGTGCAGATCGTATTGGTTATGCAGATACAAGATTAGAATGCGGAGACTCAAATATTTGAAACAAGGTTTTCATTAGGGGGAGTAAAATACGCGATGCACTCTTTTTTCCTTACTAAGGTTTTTTCCTATAGGGTTTTCCTTATAAGGTTTTTAATGAGGCACCTAGCAATGCGTATTACTAAATATGTGTACTCTTTTTCCTTCACTAGAATTTTTTCCCACAGGGTTTTTCCTGGTAAGGTTTTAATGAGGCACATTATCTTTTAATGAACATCCAAGTGGGAGTGTTATAATATATTATATTATGGATGTTCATTTAGTACTCTGTTGTAAATAAGCTTCTTGAAGAAACTTATCCATATGGGACTCCGCCGTAAATATGTTTATCTATTTAGTACTCTATTGGAAATAAGCCTCCTGAAGAAGCTTATCACTTCAGTACCCGGTTATGGATAAACATTACCCCCGGTATAGTAGCAGCTTATACAGCAGCTTGCAGTAGCAGCTTACACAACAGCTTTCTTTCTTCTATAAATAGAAGAGATTTCAGTTCATTATGTACATTAATTTGAATTCGAATAATATATCAGTTTCTTTCTATACTTATCTTTACTTTACAGTTTTTATTTTATAACACAAAATTGTCGTGGCTTGCTAGTCAAACTGATTTTTGACTATCAAGTGCGTTATGTTTGATAAACATTCTTTATATAAAACTTATTAAAGATAAAAAGCATTTCTTAGCAAATTTTTTTCATTCTGATAGCTCGATATCGAAACCTCTAGTTAAGATATATGAATCACATCTATCCCATTACAGGTAAAATATGTTCATATTTAATGATCGCATAAGAAAGCGACACGTGGAGCCAAAGACAGAAGACAGTCGGGTCCGGAGGCAATGATCTCATTTGCGGAGAAAATGGTAATCATTAAGGCAAAATAAATGTCTGTCATCCAGTACCATTCAATGATAAATATTCTACAGCATTGCGTGCATGATCCGTTAGAGTATATGAAATTCACTGCCCACCGTTACACATTATTCAATGACTCTCATAATTGTCATTTAAGAGGGGCTTGATTCTAGGACCTTGTTCCCTAGGTGTAACTATAAATAGTGACCTCTACCATCATTGGAGGAGGAAGAATTTTCTGATAAGCATACACTATATTCTATCAAAAGCTCAATAACATTTTATTTTCTTGCTTATTTATATTGTTCTTACTGCCTCCTGTAGCTCTGCGCACGGGATTAAAATATTTGCCGTTTCATTTCAATTTCAAAGCTAAGTCATATCTTTTTATCTAATTCATCTATTATTTTAGGATCAAATTAATTCACTTGTCTATAAATCATGTATAAATTCAACTATATTTGTTTTACGAGTAGACAATAAATATTATTTATCCACTATTAGTACACTGAACGTAAATTCTTTGGTCAAAACTTTGCTTGTTAATGTGGGAAAATGATGATGAAGTCACTGATTAGGTTTAAGAATTCCTTATAGATGCTGACTCAAGCCCCCACATCATCACTAAAGCTATTTTTGTGAGCATCTTTCTTTGTCATCTACTCTTTAATTTTTATTTCCATCTTTTTTTTCCCTTTTTCAATAAATTCAATATCAAGAATTTTAAAAGGTGAACTCATCAAGTTTAAATTATTTTGAATAAATGCTTTTATCAACGACTCGAGCTAACAAGTGTGAGTTGTAGCTTAAGCATTATTTTTTTTTGTGGGGGGGAAATAGCAACGTCAAATCTTCTAATCTTATTCAAATATGAAATCTAACATTTCTTTTTACATCTCTATTGTCTTCTGCATTCCATAGATATTTTACACCTTGCAAATTGGGTATTGAGATATTACAAAGGAATACATTTTAATTTTGGCAAAGAATTATGCCAATCTTATTCCATATTATCTATACTGGGGCAGGAAAAGACCATAGCGAAAATGACAACAAATCTAACCTATACTCAAATCCACATCATAATGATACTCAATAAACTGACAAACTTTTGTTTTTTTCGTTCTTTACTTTAATAGTTAAGGATAGTAAAGTTCAACACGAAAGCATAAATTCTCTTTGATGTTGACTAGAGACCAACTTGAACTAGGACATTAGCCCTTTAAACAAAATCACCAATGCAATATGATAAGAGTATGCCTCATTACCCCCCCCCCCCCCCCCATCCCAACCCCACCAAAAAAATCAACTCCAAGAAAATTGATATATTTTTAAAATTTGCTATTATAAACTTTAAAGTTATTTCTATTTTGAGAGAATTCGACCAACACAACTCTCAACAGCCTCAAAAGTTTACCTGAAACTTGGTTGTTTGTAAGTTTCTTTTATTTTTTTTAATTTCACTTCTTAAAGATATTTCAAACTATTACACCTCTCCAATATTTTATATGCTTTAAGAAATATCTAAAAAAAACAACTACTATTCAATAATACCACCACTTCACTACTGTATTCATTACTGTTGAGTTCACGTTTTTTTATGAGCCGAAGGTCTAGCGAAAATAATTGTTCTACTTGTATCAGATACGAGTAAATTTTACGTACACATTATACTCCTTAGACTTTACTTACGAGACGAGATGATACTTAATTTTTTGTTGTTGAGGCCGAGGAATATAAAAGTAGGATTAGGTTTCCATGTTTGTGAGATCTATGAACCTTTTTAGCCATGAGACCAGGGTTGGAATAAAAGAATCTTTCATAGATATCATAAATATAATCATAGTTTGTTACTTTACGATTCATCATGTTTGTTAGTATCATTTTGGCTGCACCAAAAATATCTTGAAATTCCCAAATAATTGTTTTTTACCAAATGTAACAACCAACAACCATGGAAAAATATTTCAGTTGTGAAAATAGTTACTAGTAAATATTACTCCCTCCCTCTAAAAGTAAATGTTTCAAATATTCGTCATTTAAGAAGTTCAAGATAAAATTATTTATTTTTTTCCTTTGTATCCTAAGTAATAATTGTTCTTGAAGATGAAGATATCACATAATAGAATAAATATTCATCGAAGAGATATTTTATCTTAAGATATAAATAAGGGTAAAATAATCTAATCTCTTTCTAATTAATATTTCTTATGGAACGTGTAAAAGAGAAATACAGACACATATTGAGACAGAGAGAGTACTAAATATTTTCTAAATAACTGAGCACATGGGGGTTAGCAAAAAATATTAAAATAACTGCAAACTATTACTCAGCTAAATTCCACTGGAGTAATCCATAAATTGTTCTGTTCAGTTAATTCATATAAATATCATTCAAAATTTCATTGCAGCAATAAGTATTACTACTAATATCAATAATAAGAAGCTAATTCTATTACGGTAAAATTTCTGGACAGTCACTCACTCAATTATTTTATTACACTAAAATCACTAAAGTACCAAAAAGATATTTAACTTTGTCTAAGTATGTACAAAATAAAACGTATATTCATTGACTTGTAAATATCAGCCCACATTTTTACCAAAGATTTATCTTTATACAAATTACCAAAGCTCAGAAACTGTAATGTTATCCCCTATTATATATTTCCAGAAATATAAAAAAGAAAATATAGAGCTAAAATACTCCCCCTTCCCCCCCCAAACCCCACCCCCACCCAAAAAAAAAAAAAAACCCAGTGACCACCACCACCATTACTCACTAGCTCGCCGCCGTTACAGCCAAAGCCTTCACCGGCGGCGGAGGAGGGAGTCTAGAAGAGAAATTCCTCAAAGGGGCTTCATCATCTTCATACCCGTCTTCAAAATTCAACGCGTAACTTAACGGGTCGTAACGGAACTCAGCGGAAGAGCGCCGTTTGTGTCGGTTCCCGTTACCGTTACCGATGAAATTGAATATTGTACGGCATTTATCCTTGATATCAGGGAAGTCGTTCTTGGTCCAAATCAGCGACGGGTTTTCATCGGAGGAGGGCGGAGGAGGGCGGTAGTCGAGGGAGTGAAGTTTGGTGGTGGGGGTGGTGGTGTTGCTACGAGGGTGGTGGGGGAAACAGCACGAGAAACAGAGAGAGTTTTTCAGTTTTTGTTTGAGAGAGAGTGGTGATGTGGTGAATTCGTCGTCTTCCATTGGAATAGTAGAGAATGTAGAACTTGTGAATTGTGAGGAAAAGGGTGTGGAGTATTGTATAGGGCGTCTGTTTGAGTTATTTCTATGGATATTTTTGTTCACTATATTCTTTTTCCCAAATTTGTGCCCTCTTATTTAGTGTTTAAAATCGAATCGAAACCGAAAATCGAACCGAAACCGAAGCTTAATGACTTATTGGTATCGGGTTAACGGCTTAATGGACGGGGAACGAATTAAAATTTTTTTATTAACGGCTTATCGGTTTGGGGGCGGATTACTCAATTTTCTTAACGGATAATCCGTTAACTCGTTAAGGAAATATATATATATATATATATATATATATATATATAATATAATATATATATATATATATATAAATATATATAATATTAGGCAAATTTTAATTGCTTGCTTCGCGCATTCTTTTCAATCCTATCAAACAAAAAGCAATTTACTTGATTGCTTCACGTATTCTTAACCACCTCAGTAGGTGCAGTGGAAGTACCAAAACTTAACAAACAAGAGATAGTTTAACGAGCTAGAATCTGCATTTAAAATTTGGGTTTAACACATACATCTACAGGTTTGCTTGCATGGTAAAAAAAAAAACCATCAGTCCGCACGCATTTCGGCAGTGTTCTTGGATTGTTTAGAAATTAGAGCAACATCTAAAAGAAAATTGGAGCAGTATAAAACAAGAGCAAGAAATCCCATTCTTTGACCAACATCAGCATACATTTGAAGCACGGCGAAGCAAATTTTGGACCCTCGCTAAATTTGGTAAATTGCGTCATGTGCAATATAGATTGAATTAGGCGATAAACCGCTCGATAACCGCCCGATAAAGAGCTAAAACGATACCAATCCGCCCGATATCTTATCGGGTGGCTAGCAGGATTAATACATCTAAAACCGATAACCGATAAGCCAAACCGTTAAGAGTAAATAACCGCCCAATCCGCCCGATAAGCAGCCCTACTCTTATTTCGGAAATACGATAGTCCTTAGCCTAACAACAAAATTAACAACTTGTTTGGATGGTTGTTATCTATCGTTTTATAATATATTATATGTATCTACTTATGAATATAACGTTTGGATAGATTATATTTTTGTTGTTGTTAATACAGTTAATATTTTGTTGTTTTGTTTGATGGTATCGTATTGTACTTGTGACCGAATAAGTTTACTAAAATACTCTCAATCGTTTAAATATTAATTTACAAGATGCATTGTTAGGTGTTGTATCTCCATATTGTATTCCCTTTATATAGTAAGCATTAACCCATTGTATCCATAACTTCTCCTTCTGCTTGCATATGTTCCATAGTAACCAAATAGCAGCTCACCATAGTTCCGCATTAGTAAAATCCAAAACACCTGCTACTCTTGGGCAGCATAGTTTTTCCCAAGCAATCAGTGTCTTCCTTAGTAGGGCTCTACTAGGGGTGTTCATGTTCGGTTTGGATTGGTTTTCCCTAAAAAGAAACCAAACCAAGTAAGTCGGTTTTACAAATATTAGAACCAAACCAAACCAATTAAGTCAGTTTTTTCTCGATTCGGCTTATGTCGGGTTTTGTCGGTTTTTCGGTTTTTTCGGTTATTTGTCGGTTTTTTTTAAATATAAGACATACACTACCAAACACATATTTCGGGGACCACATTTTCAACGTAACACTATCAAATCAATTGCCCTTTGAGAAATCTATTATTTACCAAGATATATTGATGATAATTGAATCAAATAGTGATGAATAATTTAAGGACTCAACTAAAAATATATATTTTTTAACACGAAATGGATTCTTACACTTAACAAAAGAAAACTACCAATCAAACTAGAATGTAAAGGTAAAAAACTATACTAAAAGTGCAAACTTTTAACATTTACCATAAAAAATTTGAAACTTTGTATAAAAATATACATATATATAGGTGTAATAATAAATTTGAAATAGCTACTCCTATAGTCGGTTTGGTTCGGTTTTTTTCGGTTTTTTCTGATTAAAACCAAAACCAAACCAAATTTGATCGATTTTTAAAATTCAAAACCAAAACCAAACCAAACAAAAAAGTATCGGTTTTTTTGATCGATTTGGTTTGGTTTTCGGTTTGGTTCGGTTTTTCGGGTTTATATGAACACCCCTAGGCTCTACATTCCCTGACCATAGGAACCTTCTACATATTATATCAATGAACTGAATAATCTTCTTTGGCAAAATAAAGATCTGAGCCCAGAACTTTTGAATTGCAGTCAAAACACTTTTTGTAAGCACAGCTCTCCCTGCATAGGACAGAAATTTTGATGTCCTTCATTGAATTATGTTCAGCATCCTATCAATCAAAGGCTCGCATTGGATAATTGATATCTTCTTTGTGCTCAAAGGTACCCCCAAGTATCTGAGGGGTAGCTCTCCCTTGTTGTATCCCAGCATATCCATAATCTTCCTTTGAGTCACAAGATCTACTCCTCCAAAGTATATGCAGCTCTTGTTTTGGGTTTGCAGTTAATCCTGATGCCTCAGAATATATTTTAAATTGTTGATGCAACTCCCTGACTGATTGTATATCACCCTTCCAAAAAGGTAGCAATCGCCAGCAAAACCTAAGTGTACTAAATTGACTTTAGCACACTTAGGGTGGTATTTGAATTCTTTGTTCTTCTTTAAGGTTTTCAACAACCTGCTCAAGTACTCCATTGCCATCACAAACAACACAGGAGACAGTGGGTCACCCTGTCTAAGCTCCTTCCTTGCCTCAAATGGTTTTGTTGGTTGCCCATTGATAATTACTGCATAATTCACAGTACTTATGCATTTTCATTATCCACCTTACAAACTTCTCAGGGAATCCTAGTAACTTCATTATATATATCCATTCCACAGAGTCATATGCTTTTTGCATATCAATCTTTAGCATACACCTGTGAGCACGTGATTTTTGCCCTATATGAATTATTCCTAGAAATTCAAACAAACTGATTTCTTTCATTATTGTGCAATTTTGTGGATTTTTGTGACATTTTATGTTAATTGTTTGCATTTTTGTTTGTGCATTTCTATTAATGAAAAACAAAAAAAAATATGCTTGGCATGTGCATTTAGGGCTTAATTTCACATTTTAGCATTAATTAGTAATTAAGTTACTTTACAAGGAAGAAAATAACAAAATAGTTCATTTTGCATTTTTAACTAGTAATTTTTGAATTTGTCATGAGTTTCCTTTAAATTAGGACTTAATCAATTTTGAGAAAATAATTAGTTTAATTTTGGGAATAAATCAGGTCTTTATTTTAATTTTGCATTTTTACAAAATCTGAAAATATATAATAAAAAGGAAAAAAGAGAAAAATTGAAAAGAGAGGAGTTTAAAGAAATTTAATTGGTTATACAAATGTGGGCCAATTTTTTAATAACACCAGCCCAAAAACAAAATCCCTCCCAAAAAACCAGTTCAAAATCGGCCCAAATCCAAAAGTCCACCCGGTCCAATCCCGTTACACCACAAAACGACGCCGTTCCATCTTGGGTTAATGTGGACCGTCGAGGTTAATTGATCAGACGGCCCAGAAGTCCCCTACCCTTAATATATATATGTCTGAACAACCCCTCCCCCCCCCCCGTACCTCACCGCCTCTCAAACCCCNAATTGATCAGACGGCCCAGAAGTCCCCTACCCTTAATATATATATGTCTGAACAACCCCTCCCCCCTCAGAACCCCCCCTACCCTCACCGCCTCTCAAACCCTGATCATGTAACACCACCGTCGCCCACCGCCACCCCACCGTCTACCACCGTCCCTCCGCCGTCCGTCGCCGGCCGGAAATCGCTCACGGCGGCGGTCAAGCTCCAAACCCACCCAAATTTTCACCATCGATTCCTCTCCCCTTCCACTTTCCAATGCCCAAAATATGTTCCCTCGAATATTAGCCAATCTGCTCGAATATTCGAAAGCGGTGACGCCGCCCACGGCGGCGCCACCACCAAACAACTCCATTTTTACACCATATGTTCTCCCCAAGATCCTCTTTCTAAACCCCTGACCAGCTTCATTCGAATCCTCTTGCATGTTCTCGAATTTCAAATCAAAATCCGGCCTAAAACCCTAAAATACTCCAAATATCATCAAATCGACATCACATGATCTCCTCACCCCCCCCCTCATGAAGAATCCACCGTCAGTGATGTTCGAATATTACCGGAGTTGCTCGAATGTTAAATCTAAGAGGCGGCAGAACCCTAGGACTCCATAAGTGAGTTTTTCCTTGTTCTTCTTCGTTAGTTTCTTCATCATGACTGATATTTCTTCTCGATTAATCAATTTAGGGTTTGACTTTATTTCTTCTCATTTTTTTTATCAATTCGTTCGATCCAGTGTTCGAGTAGGTTAGCCTGTTTCTTATTTGTTTATTCTTCATTATCATTTAATCAATAGTGAGAATTGGTTTGTTTGTCGATTTAGTTGTGATTGAGTTCTTTAGAATTAGGGTTGATCATGATTAGGGTTTAGTTTAAGTTTGGAATTGCTTAAATTTTCTTCAGGCTTCATGTATGATTAAGTTTGTTCTACTAGTTTGATTGTGTGTTTCGAATCTGTTTTTCTTACAGTCTTGATGGTCTTTAATCAATCCTATTTGGGCACTGTTTGACTTTGATTTGTTTAAACTAGTAATCCTGTATTGATATTATTAGTTAGTTTAGTTTAGTCATTTCAATTTAATCAGTAATTGTTCTTTAGTCAGTGTTTGTTTTCAAATAATCCTTAAGCTTAGGTTAGATTGATTTGGTTATAGCTGATAATGGTAATTTGGTGAATTGAGACCTAAATCGAAGGTTAATAATTGCAAAGTAGGTTTAGGGGGACTGCTGGATTTGGTCAGTAATTTCAGGGGATGCTAAGGGTAGTTTAGGCATGGGAAAAGGATAGTTTAATCAGATTTGGTAATTGTTGAAGTAAAGTAAGGGTAGAACAGGAATTGTAATGGGTATAGAACCTTCTAGAATGGACTGTAGTGCAGATTTCAGTAAACTTAGGGTAGTTACTTGTGTAACAAGTCATGAAATAAAGGGTAAAAATAGAATTAAAATAG